TTTTTTTTTTTTTTTCTCTTGTTCATTCATTTTCCTGGAATCTGATAGTTTTGATCCAACAGATGCAAAAGGAGGTATAASAATAAGGAAAACCATTTATCATGTGTAGAGATCCACATAAAAAAAATAGAGAAGTTTCACTGGGTGCACGTGCATGTGCTTGACCTTCTCTCTTTGTTGCAGGGCTCAAAGAACCGCAGTTTGTGGAGTTTAATGGGGGATTTAGCCAAGACCAGCTGGACTGGTTCAATGAAGTCCTTAAAATCTCTGATGAAAACCAAGAAAAAGTTGTAGTTATGGGTAGGTCTGCTTCTTATACATGTGACTGAATGCATTTGTTTTGAGGCTTTTAGAAGGGAATCTCATCAGCTCAGCTTAATCAGACACTAGGGATGCTAGACAYGGATATTCCAGTTGTTCTCATGCTCTGTTATTTCTACAGAAAACAAGCATCTTAGCATRCTTTGGTCATCCTTTCACCTGAAAACACTTATTTTCTCCAATACTTTATACTGCTTTGAGGACATTCGGAACCTTCAGAACAGTCCTACATTTGGGGAAAAACCCTGCAAATATGAATAACRTTACTGAGAATGATATTTGTTATTGAGGCTCAGGGACTGTCGTATTAGGGGCAGAAAACAGCAGAACTGGTACTTGAGGGGTACCTGAGAAATAACCAAATGACAGGGAACTAGTTCTGAAAAGTTGGTAAGACAATTACCACCATGCCAGAAATTACCACCATGCCAGAAATACCCAAGTGACAGCAAAGAGAAGAACAGCACATAACAGGTAGGTAGGTATTGGTGACCTTAATTTATATGCCAAAAAAAAAAGCTGTATGGCCAGAGTATGCCAGCTGGGGAATACACATCGAGTGTTGTGCAGCGGTGCAGTGAAATATGCATGTAACCTGTAAAGTGTGAGAAAAGCAATGCTGTTTCACACTCAAAGTGAGCTTTCTGAATACAGATACAAACCTAAACTTCCCATCAACAGGCAGTTGTTGTTGCTGTGTTCAAAATATRTATTAAAGTGATAGACATGAACTGATCTTACATATATCCGTGAGTACCACTGAGAGGGGACWCTGTATTTAGATACTAAGATGCAAATATAAAGAAGCAAATTTTATAAACTGAGAAATCAAAACTTTAAAGATGCTCCAACAGTTTCCCTGGGCATTAAACCAAAGTGATTCTGTCATTCAAAACATGGGGGCATTTCTAGTGAGTGTTGAGTATGTCTATTATGTACCTCAAATAATACTTTTCTTTCTTTTATTTTCATTCCCTCTCAATTGCAGGTCATCTTCCCATTCATCCAGACTCTTCAGATAGAGTTTGCCTAGCCTGGAATTATGAAGATGCCCTTTCTGTCATACATGCTCATCAGTGTGTGGTGTGCTACCTTGCAGGGCACCTGCACGACGGTGGCTATTGCTTGGACTCTCATGGAGTACATCATCTAACTTTGGAGGGGGTTATTGAAACTCCACCAGAAAGCAATGCCTTTGGAACTATTTATGTCTATGACGATAAAATGGTATTAAAGGGAAGGGGCAGAATTTCAGACAGAGTGATGTATTACTGAAAATGGTAAGTAAATGAATACRAATTGCTCTTCTTCAGGAATTACTGAAACTAAAATATAATAGCATCTGCAGCAGTGGGTTTCAGCATATCTTTGCTGGTAGAAAGATCTGCATGGCTGATGCTAACAAACTTTTCCTCAGGCATTTTTCTCTCAAAAATAACATTTTAAATGGTTTTTTTTKTKKKGTTKTTKTTTTTTTTTTGTAAGAAAGCAAATCTTGGCTCTTATTCCAGAACACAGAGTCAGAAACTGTGAAATAAATGTACTTAATTACAAATTATTGGCTCTAAACACCCAATCCTCAACAGATTGCTACTTACTGTGAAAAAGCATACTATATTAGCAAGGTTGTCTTAAAAATCCACCCATTTCTTTTTTAATTTTGGCCAGATTTTTGACATGCAGAATACATCTCCAGTTTGGCAGAAAAATTAATCCTGTAGCCTAGTAGGGTCTTCTTGAAATAGATGKTTTTTTTTTTTTTTYCCAAAATTATTTTAGTCTTTTAAAGCAAAGCCTAAGAAAATAGGGACTATCTGTGCTAAACCAACACAATATTGAGAGACTTAAGTTAAAAATCATCAAGCTAGGAAGACCGTGGCATCATATAATGCTGCAGATACACCAGCCGTAATCTACATCTCCTAGCTGTATTAGCTTGYATCAGCATTAAGCTAAAAACTTCTGCTTTGTGAAAACAGAGACATTCTGTGAAGAGAGTTGKGATAGTGATTATGTCTGCTGGTGGCAGCCTTGAGCATGCATCTCAAAGGAAATAAATATATGCAAGCTCTCTTTGAATTTCTTTAGAAAAATAATATTTGTTACTTTWTATATTTTACTTTTAAAAGAAGTATTTATAGAGATAATAGCAATAAATATTAGTAATAATTCTAAAATATTCGACACCTGATTATAGCACAGAATTTTTAAAAATTATTTTTTAGTCTCATTAGTAGACTATCCAGGCAGAGCTGAAGATTTCACAGCTGCAAATAGTTACCTATTGAAACAAAAAGTTTCCAGATACTTTTCCAGGAAGCCACAGAGTAGCATATTTAATAAGTGCTACTTGGAGGAAAGAAAGCAGGAATGGCACGATATCTCAAATAACTGATATTAGAAGGCTGTACTTTAAAAACACATGAAGAAACAGTTTGAACAAGTTTCCATTGGAAAAAGATCCCCACTCAGGTTTGACAGCATTGGTTTTTTTCCCAGTTATCATTAACAAATCTCAAAACCACATTGTGGCAAGCAGGCAGGGATTCTTGCATCTTATCAAACTGATAGCAGCCTTGCTTTAAGAACCCAACAGCAGAGGCAAGTAAGGTCAGAATATTTTTTGTGTATTTTCTCCCATCTGATTAAACCACTGTTTTACAGTGAGTTGGCCAAGATGCTCGCATCTCTTTGTTCATGTAAATGTACAGCCACATAAAAAAGGGAAAGAARCAGACCAAGACTGCAGCAATCAAACGAATTCCACCCAGTGGATTCCTACAAAGAAACAAATACAATAGTGCTGTGTCAAATCATACTGCCTTACCAAATATTCATACAGGACTGTGGTTGGTATGCTGMCTAGAGACAGTATAGAGCCTTTGCAACAATAAAGAGGGTCATGTAGCTCTATCAGCAGTCTTTCACTGAAGATGTTGCCATGTGCCAACATGTCAGCCTGCCACTCAGAGCGTTCTGTGAACTCTGYCCGAATCCCCACTCTGCTCCAGAAGAAAGCAGCAGACACCTCAGAATTGGAATTGTAGTGGAAATGGTTTTGCAGCTTTGATTAGCAATTGTGGTCAGCATCCACTAGCCTATTCCACAGAAGAATGGGTGTTCTCCATATGCAAAGGGAAAATGTGCCTCTTCCCATATCCCATGCATAGAAAGCAGGAAAAAACGTCTTTTGTTTAGCTTCAGTTTCTCCCAGCACACTTCCACCCATGCAAGATCTTATAGGCTGCAACACCAAATGCTACTGCTTTGGTATTTGAGAAGATTTGGACAATAACATGAAGTAGAAAAACAAGGAGTGAGTATCACATGCTTTCAAGAAGGTGGTCAACTAAATATGAATATATGAGTGGATTAAAAAACGAACAAAAAAACATACTTTGCTGAACTGCGGCAAAGGCTCATCCATATTGTAATAATCAGCAGACCAGATAACTCTCTAAAAAGACAAGTGAAAACTAAATCAGAATATAATGAATGCATGCAGATGTTTGCTTGTAAAAAATAAAAAGCTGCCAAAAKAGTAGGGCAAGTGCATACTCCTCCTCTGTAGAAGTTCACTGTATTTTACTAGGATAATAGTTATAAAGGCATTTGCATTATTAATTTTCTTACATCACAAATCTGCAAATTTCTGCAACATTATAGCTGGAGAAATTCCTGCTTCCACCTCTTGTTCTAGCACTAAACTTATACTCTACTATGTATCTACCTCATTAATATACAGCAAAACAACACCCCAGCATTTCATACTGTAAACAGCAGCAGCTGCCACTGCTCCACTCTCTGTAGTGAACAAGCACCTAACTTAAGCAAACAGATGGGTTTCTAAGTCTTTAACAAATGAAAATTTGTTCCCCTCTCCCTCCAGTTCCTACCAGTTTAAGGACTCAGCAGAACCTGCCAGATACACATGCATATGGTATCATCCCAAGAGTCTGTAGCACTTTATAACTCCAATTTTTATAGCACCAGTAACARGCTTTTTCAGAGTGCAAGTGTAGTGGTCTTTGAAAGCCAGAACTGCATTTAATTACATCTAACTGACCCCATCAGGTGTAACTAAATAAAATTATTCTCTGTTTAGCTTTTGCCCAGCACATTGGTGGTTTGTAATACTGTGATTGCTCCTCCTTGGCATCACTCTTCTGGACCAACACTATTCACTGCAACAGCTCAGCAAATAAAGTTCCACTGAAAGATGACCTACTAGAAAGTCACAGCTACCTCAAAAAGGTCCAGGTTCACTGAACTCATGCAGAGAAAATTCTTTACTCACCTGCCTTCCTCTTCATGCAAGATGTTTGTTYGAGTGTAAGCAAACAAAGAATAAGCCAAGAGAATGGCCCCAACAATACAGCCAGCAGAATGAAGATCACAGAGGGTCCTCCAAACAAGATTATCTGGGGAAAACAAAACAAAAACAAGAAACAGACTGTCACTGACTGCAATGTATGATGAACAATACTCTAGAAATTGAATAGCATCTGAGTTGCTGGGAAACAGATGCCTCCAGCAAACATACTTGTCTTGGGTAGGAAGGGTGGAATTAATGCCCGCATCTTCATGACCAAGGAAAGCTGCTAAAAACTATTGCTGAAAATGTAAACCAGTGGATTTGAAGCTTGTTTTCCTAGAAATGCATTTTCTTGGCAGCAGTATCTAAATGAAAATAACTCCAAATTCTCCCTAGCAAATAAAACAGGCCCCAGGATCCAATATACACAGAAAATGAGGAGGAGGATTAAAAATGGAAGTTCTCTTAAGCAGGAGGAATGGCTTCCCCAGAGCCTATGGCACTAGCCAGACTCTTGGTAGTGATACCAGAGGAAAATCAGGACTCCAGGGGAGCAATTCCCAACTGCTTCCAGCCAATCATCCAGGATTTACAACTGCAGCTACCACATTGTAAGGAATTTATTACCTTCATTTACACTCCCAGATAAGATGCTGAACATTTTGAACATGTCAACTGCACCTACTAAAGCAAAGGGCATCTTTTCTAGAAGAAGGCTCCCAGCAGGTAGTCTTTCCACGCGGCCTGATCTTAACCTGTGGCTCAATACAAACAAACCTGTGGGAGGTGAACTCTGCGCAGACATTCTGGTGTACGCACAGTATCGTACCTGTTATCGAGGGGTTCAGGCCAACGAGCAGCGTGAGGGCAGCTGGCACAAGGTAGACAACCTGTCAATAAGRCACATCAACTCTGTAGCAAATCCCAGCATCAGGAAGTAGAAGCATTCATCTTCTGCTTTTAGTCTAGGCTCCCCTTCTTCTCCATTTCAGTAGTTTGTCTGATGTGCAGGAATGTTGTACATCTTTCCCTCACCGGTCTAACTACCTCTAGACCAATACTGCTTTCATGGTTTGAGTGCTGGACGCAAGGCAGTCAAGCCAGGGTTTTAAAGCAACTTTATCAACGGATGTGAAGATGGAGGTGGCCTTGTCAGGCAGCCTTAGACCCAAGGAGGAACGAGACAAGCAGTGCTTGGAACAGGGAAATGCTGGGGCAGGTGCAAATCTGAGGCAAAATAAAAAATTCTAGGCACACTGTTACACCTCAGCCATTGCTCCAGTGACACCGCAGTGATGGTACGGGCACAAAAGAGACAGTTTTCCAGGGATCTACTTGCCCTGCACTTGTCCCCTGCCGCGGGCCTTTTCCCGGAGGCCCAGGCAAGGCTTCGCGGGACAGGGACATGCAGCCATACTCACTATCCACAGTCTGATACTCACTATCCACAGTCCGGCATCGGGGTCGTTCACCTGCGGGGAGGAAGCAAAGTGCAGAGCACAGCAAGGAGACACCCCGACCCGGCAACTCGTTGTGAGCGCAACGAGAGCCCGGCGAGCCCCAGGCGAGCGCGGCGGGGCTCAGCGGAGCCCCGGCCGCCCGCCTCACCTGCACGACGGCCGCCAGCCCGAAGAAGACGGCCATGAGGAGGCTGCAGAGCCGCCAGAGCCGCCCCGCGCAGCGGCCGCCCGCCATGGCCGGGCCGGGCCCGCGCCCGCCTCGCCGCCCAGCCCAGCCCGTCCCGTCCCGTCCCGCCTCCCGCCCGCCTCCTCATGGCGGAGCGCCCGGCCTGAGGTATCGCTGCGTGTCGCCGCTGGGCCGGCCTTGGTGAGGGCGAGCGCGGGCGCACGGGAAGCTGGAAGGTGAAGCGAGGGAAGGTGGACGTGAAGGCCGGGAAGCTTCTTGGTGTCTGCGCTGCAAGAGGCTGCAATTTAACAAGAGATACGGTCTTTTCTTTTTCCCCCTTTTCTTTTTCCTTTTCTTTTGTACATCTGAAGAAAAAAAAAGGTATGTTTCTCAGAAGCACATACTCCCTCATTTGCTGACTGCTTATGACCCAAAGCGATAATCATTTATGAGACATTAAGAAAATGTACTACCTACCATACCCACCTGCCAAACCCAAGTCTCGTTCAGATATATTTCTTTCAGCCAATAATTTTAGTAACAGCATAATATCCCTGTTCATATCTCACATAAAACTTGATCTCACGTGAGTTGTCATACGGAGGATACATGCAGACGCATTTGYGGAGAGAATTAATACTCCTCTCCACTTGTCATTTTAACTGATTCCTTTCATGCACAGATTGTGAGAAATGAATTTATTTCACAGAACATCAAATGGAAGTGCCCTTCCATGCGAAAGGCTGCCATTCGTACAGCTCCACTGAGTGGGATTTGTGGTTCATAATAATTCAGTTATTCTGTACATTAAGCTGTTGGGTAGCTGGAATCATGTTCAGACAAAATCCTTCCCAACATTTACGTTGATCCACATTTCTACCCTGAAGCCTAGGAAAATTAAACAACTCTCTGTAGGTGCCCTTAAGTACAACTTCCTGACTCACAGGCCCTCTGGGTGGACATACAAATGCTTTGTTTTCTTAAAAAAAAAAAAAAAATAAAGGGATTACACTGCCCCAGGATACATCTATCTATCTTCCTTATCTCTCATCAGACCCAGTTTGAAATGTGGATTAGCAAAAGCAACAGTTTCTCCATGTGTTCCCACAGAGCCGCCCATCACGAGGCCCCATGAACCAAACCACACTCCTGCTGCAGTTTTATCAAGCCGCTGTGGAGGCAGGACCATCCCAGAGAGCGTTTGCCGCAGGGTGGGGAGAAGATAAGTTTTTATGGGTGCTTAGAATGGACTCCGTGGAGTGTCTGGCACCCTGTAAGCTAGCAAAGTTCCCAAAAACCCAATGGCAAGACAGGGCAAAAGGTCCCTTTTTTTGCCAGGGTTTACAAAGTGTTTCATCTGAAACGCGTTCTTTGCTTGCCTATTTCAAAAGTGATCTTCCTGTAGTTTGTTTTAGAAATTCAAATGCTTTTTAGCGTTTTTGTGTGGTTACTGATATAAATAAGAAAAAAAAAATAAAGCTGATGCTGCTCACTTCAAAGCTTTATCAAACTCACAGTCCCATCACCACTTCGGTAACCTCTCCTTCCATGGATAAAAAGGGAATTGCTCTGAGAGCAATACTGCTTTCTCCCATTAGAGGGAGGTCAAGAACATTTAGCACTCTTGAGTATAATTTAAGCTACTTGAAAATTAGTTCCTCGGTATCAGATAAAATATCCTTCCTCCTTATGCCTCTCTAGAGTCTACTAGTTAGCCCTTAGAAACCTGAGTTTATCTCAGTCAGGAGACTCCATCTCTAGAATACAGAGGTTTTAGAATGATAGTGCTGGCGGGACAGACCCAAAAACCAGACTCAACAACCAATAGCGGGAGACCCATGTTGCCCGCCAGGAATCTGTACCAGAGATGTGTCACTCTGTCCCAGTGACCACTCCATAATAATGCTGATCCTTGTAGATACTACTGACACTACCATGAATAACCATAAACTAGCTTTGACTAGATAAAAACAGGTTTTGAGGTTTTGGTTGGAAAGGTGAAGGAGTCACAGGGTTGGGCTTTTTTGTTTATTTGTTTATTTGTTTATTTGTTTATTTGTTTATTTGTTTTGATTGTTTGTTTCCAAGAGGTGGACTGAAATTCAAATAGGGAAATTCTGCAAATACATGCATGATTACACACTTGATATTGCAAAAGGGTTTAATCTCCTTAACCAGTGGCCGATGTCCCATGAGCAGTCAGGGAAGGTTCATACAGTGCACCACATGAGAGGGGGAAGAACCCTCACTTATTTGCTATATTCARTCCAATGTGATTGGCCTCATTTTTGTCTTATTAAAATCCTATATGAACAACCCTCTTCCTAACTCATTAGTTTTTAAAACTCAACCAAATTAATCTTGTTTATGTTTTGTCACTTGCTTTTTTTAATGATAATTTAAAGTCCTCAATTCCCAGAAAAGTTATGGAATAAATCATTAAACAAGGCACTCGTATGCACCTGGAGTATAAGAGCATGAAGAGCAGTTATCATGAGCTTGTCAGAAGCAAATGCTGTCAAGTCAAACTAATTTCCTGGTATGGCACATTTTTGTGTGCGTGTGTGCGTGTGTGCGTGTGTGTGTGTATGTGTGGGTGTGTAAAATGGAAAATAGTAGATGTTGGGCACATTGACTTTGGAAGGCTTTAACACTGGCTGATCTGATTATCTCTTGAGAGATGAATACAAGGAAAGGAATTACATGTCTTCCATGGCCATAGTGATCATAACAGGATATAAWAGGTTTCAGTTGAGTCAAGAAAGCTGATATTAGGCTTTAGGATAATGTTTTGAGTGTCAGGATAGTGGCATACCACTAGAGATGTCTGAGGGGATGTTACAATTGCCATCACTGCAGGTCTTTAAGAACATGTTTCACAAATATCTCTGAAGAAAGATTTGATTCTGATCCTGCCATATTTGCAGGGGAAGGATAAACTCTATAATTTGTACTTAATTGTAAGCAAATCACAGTTAGGTGGCATGAAGTAGAGGTGGAAGCCAGCTGTCAGCTTCTGTCAGTGTTTCAGAATATCAACAAATATTAATGTTTCTCTATTGTAGTCTGTATGACCCAACTTTGGACCAGCGTTCTTGGTTGGGGCATAAGAGAAGGCTTAAGTAAGACAGGGAAAAGAAAGGAATGTTGTGGAGCTGGGGGCATGTCTTAGGTATCAGGGCCTGGAACACCCACCCCTTCATACCCTATTATTACAAGTTTATCTTTCAGCACTAAAGGTCAGCTTGCTGATAAGAGGAAGCAATTTTAGAAGTCTTAGCCTTGGAGCACTTTGAAAAAAATCTGCAAGCAGCCTCCTCAGGAGTTTTTACCTTCTTCCCTTGGGAGCTGCTTTTAAGCCAAAGGTTCTACCTTGGTCCCCACATGAGCTACCTTGCAGCTGCATTGCAGCTCTGCCTGTGCCTGGCCACATACCCTGTTGATCTAGTTCCAGACACTGACCCGTGGACTTGAAATCCCAGCTTAACATCAGACTTGCTTCATCACTGTGGTCATCTGTCAGTTAGGGCTCTTGGCTGAAGCTGGTTAYTGTCATAGGACATGCTCTGCTTGCCTTGCTGATGACTGGGTCCTTGCCCTGCCTACCTTGTTATCAGTCTTGCATCACCTTTCMAGAGGAGCAGCTTGCTGACATTACTTGGATGAGAATACAGGGTTGGCATCTTATTTTGTGCAAGGTAGTGAGATGTCCTGTATGGGAGCTGGGAGGAGAAGATACAGGCATACCTTCTCCTGGACATATGTGCTTGTGCTACTCTATACAGGCGGGTCTGTGGCCATTGTCACTGACTGTGCCAAATTCTAGTGCTGAAAAGTACCAACAGTGATGCTCAAGGAGACTACATTTAATGTAGCCTGTTTTTGTGGAAAGTGCTGTATGAGGACTTCTGATTTCTCTCCAACAGAAGATGTGGAAGACACATAGATAGAGCTTCGGAAGAGCCATCAAAGTCTCTCAGAAAGCAAAGGACAGGGTGGGATGCTGCAGAGTAAAAGTCTAAGATARAATCCAGCAAACAGACTAGTAGGATTCTGGCCTGAGAGTGTGAAGAGAGGTAATGCTATTCAGCTAAGGCAAAACAAAGCTAGTATGAATGTGAGGAGAAGGAAGCTGACCTCTCTGTACTAGGACAGCTGGGAAGGAAAGCATCAATCTCTTATCCTACAGTGATTCCTGCTTTCTGTTTTGTCCATAGTTTCCCTCAATTCTGCTTTCCTTTGTGACCGTTCCGTTTCTTTTTCTTCCTCTTCACATTTGCAGTTGTACACTGCTAACCAGTCAGGCAACTTCCAGAAGTACATCAAATACCAGTTCAGGACCTGGGGRTGTTTGCTCTCTCATCACCTTCATGAGATGCACTGAGAAGCCTGGGCAAAGGAGGAACAGAGAAAGTTCAAATGTTGCTACTTAACTCTCAGATATCCAGCATTTTCATCAAGGGATCTCAGTTTACAAAGCAGGTTGATATTATACAAATGAGGAAAAAGGGACTTTTGGAAATGAAGGCCTTTGACCAGGTCATGCAGTGGACTGGGAAGAGAGCCCATATCTCTTGGGGCCCTTTTCAATGCTCTCGTCCCTGGAATATACTGCTCCAACTAAGCTATAAGTTAGCTGGAGACAGAGGTAGGATCAGAAATGAGGCAGAGACTGTATTGGAATGAATAATGGACTCCAATGGAAGAAATAACATAAAGTTTTGGAGATTGATGGCAGCAGAAAGGGAGTGATGTCTTGGGTACCACGGAAAACAAAAGGYGAAGTGATGCTCCACAGAGGTTTCCAATAAGATTTCACACAGGGAGAGTTTCAAATAAGACAAATTTGAAAGTAGTTGCTTGTGCAAGAGGAAAAATCATGGTGGAGAAATCTGATACAACCGCTTGGAGAAACAGCCAGCCCTCAAAGGACCTCAAAGGACCCTCAAAGGAGCTCATTGAAGCTGGGAGCTGGAGAGGGTTGGGCACCTCCACAGGCWAGAAGGCTGCTGGGGCAAAACATGGGGACAC